TGTGATATAGAATCTCAGAGGGCTAATCATAAATGTTAAAACTGTAGAATCAGAATCTCAGAGAGCTAACCATAGATGTTAAAACTGTGATATAGAATCCCAGAGAGCTAACCATAGATGTTAAAACTGTGATATAGAATCCCAGAGAGCTAACCATTAAAACTGTGATATAGAATCTCAGAGGGCTAATCATAAATGTTAAAACTGTGCTACAGAATCTCAGAGAGCTAACCATAGATGTTAAAACTGTGATATAGAATCCCAGAGAGCTAACCATAGATGTTAAAACTGTGATATAGAATCTCAGAGAGCTAACCATAGATGTTAAAACTGTGATATAGAATCTCAGAGAGCTAACCATAAATGTTAAAACTGTGATATAGAATCTCAGAGAGCTAATCATAAATGTTAAAACTGTGATATAGAATCTCAGAGAGCTAACCATAGATGTTAAAACTGTGATATAGAACGTTAGATTGCTCGTTACCATTCACCAGTCTCACATCACCAGCGATTGTTTGTGATTGCATGTCAACTGAAATGACTTTTTCCCAAGTGGGAACGTTTACTTGAAGTATTGATTCTTCACATTCTTTCTTAAAGCTTCACAACGTAAATCGATTTCGTCTGTAAAATACATTGCATTGCATGCATAAGAATACTGTTATTGGCTCCATGCGTCATGACTAGAACAGTGATCAACAGTGATCGTAATCAACTGTAATGCATCCAATCTGTGCTATGACACCTTCGCATGACCCATTTTAACTGTGATATAGAAACATACAATGGTGCTTATTTGTACATACTGTTTTGCTTTGTGTAAAGAAATAGATGTCTCTGTAATAAATGTTACAATATTTGACACTGTCTTTCTTGTATTTTGTCCTACACAGAACAATATAGATTAAAATAATCACCTTTAACTTGTCATTTTTTCCTAATTAAACTGCATGATAACCTGACTTGATCTGTATTTTTCTCAAATGTAATGCACAATGGTCTGTGTTTACTCCATAAGTTATGAATATATAAGACATATTGTTGCAACATTTAAATCTACCTCACAATCATTTAAGTATCCCATACGTTTTATGGAAGGCATGCTTGTTGCTTTAGATAATGTGTCTCACAAAAAATGTTTCCTTTAGGCTGTTTAAACCAAAATGAACAACTTTCATTCTGTAACCTAACAGTAAAATGCAAACTTTCGTATTATATTTACACAAACAAATATTACCTATACAATAAAATAATCTTATCAACCGTGTTGGACAAAGCTAAACATATGAAGCCTAGAATAATGATCTGTATCACTGAAACAACACCGTTTGTGTCCCTCACACAGACCGAATTATCAGAAGAGGGATTCCAGTATGTGTGTAATAAGGTTCACGAAGAAGGGTACAATGTGTGAAGCCCATTTCTGGTGTCTCCCGCCGTGATGTTGCTGGAATATTGCTAAAAGCGGCGTAAAACCAAACTCAGTCAGTCAGTTTACAAAGAATACTTTTCTTTATTTTGAAGAGTATACATATTCATTTTAGCAATAGAGTGAGAATGATTTTACGTCGCTTTAAGTACCTTTCCAGCAATATCACTGCAGGGGACACAAAATATGAGCGTGCGAGTGAGTTTACTTTTACGCCATCTATCCCAGCTATATTGCAGCTGTCTGTAAATAATCGAGTCTGGACCAGACAATCAACAGTATGAGCATCGATCTGCTCAACTGGAAACCGATGACATGTGTCAACTAAAGTCAGCAAGCCTCACCACCCGATCCCGTTAGTCGCCTCTTACGACAAGCAAGGGTTACTGAAGATCAATTCTGACCTGGACCTTCACGGGTCACAAAATATGAGCTTTGCACAATTTGTCCATGAAAGGAATTGAACACGAGTTTCCCACATGACAACACAACGCTTTACCCACAGGGCTAGCCTAACGCCTCATACATGACGATAGCTACTTACTGTCATCCACATCCAAATGTTCCAAACTCGCTTTATTATCAGTAGTTCTCGCTATTCTATGCACAGTATCCCTATCTATCCGCTTTGTTCTTAGCAAATTCGTACATTTTAACAAAGGTCCCTGTAAGGGGTCCGAAAAAGATTTTGTTTAAATCACTGGTATGAGAAGAAATGAAAAAAGATATTTTTATTCAACACTTTGATAATGTGTATACATGTAGCAAAATAATGGAAAGGATAGACATGTTGAAGCGTTCATGTCTAATCAAGACACTGATAATGTATACAGGTATGTACTTATACAGCAATAGAAAATTGAAAAGAAATGTTTGTGCAAGGGTATATAATCACATAGGAGTTTATAGCAGTTGAATAGCAGTATTACGGTGTTAGCATCTACACCGAAGGGATGCATTTATTGCAATAAAGAAGTAGTTTATCCATAAAAAGTGTTCCTCTTTATGTAACATTTAATTCCCAATTATTGCGGTCGAAATTGATGTACATTGTTTGAGAAATGTGGCATAGATAAATCTGAGTATACTATTCATATATTGTGTTTTGCAAGAAATTGTTTTCATATGGGATGATTCTTGTTCGAGATAACGACCTCTCGTTATACATGCACAATGTTGTCGAGGAAAGAACGAGAAGAGTTGTCTTGGGACTGTGTGTAAGCATTATAATGAAGTTGTTGAAATTACTAACACTCCTTGTCATGTTCCAGTGGTTAAGTACCTGTAACGACTCATTACAAGGTAATGTTTACCTTGTAGGTACATGGAACAGAGGCAACTCCAGCAGATCACGACATTTCCGAATATACCAATTAAAGTGTACATAATCTCTTTCAAGATAGTGTGATGTACTGTCTTTCTTTCACCAACGAGGACATTGTATAATTTGAAAGAAACATTTGGGAATTACATAGTTGAAAGATAATTTATCACGAAAATGCTTTTGGTTTCACACAATATGTTATAAGTCAACAATGGCTTAATTAACAATGAATCTATACAATACAATTTCAAACAAGTGTTTTCTCATCGTCTTAAAGGGCGTACAACGTTGATAACATGCGTTCATGAATACATAAATAGCGCAACGTGTGCTTTTGTAAACATATAACAAGTTGCTCTCAACAGAACCAATTTCTGACAATCATAATCAGATGTGGAATTTTATAAACATTAATAACGGATCAGGGCGTCAGATATGTCATCAATGGTTGCTCATGTTTCCCCCTCCCTCTCTTTACAAACATTGTTGAATGAACATACATAGATCTACATATATATTATGAAGTATTCTGTGAAGTCATAAATAACCACGTGACTTGTAAAAGGTCCATCACGCATAAAAGAAATCATTATCCACAAAAGCCCCAAATGGAATTAACCGGCAAAGTTATATTGGAGAAACGCAAAACGGCCAACTTTTGATACTGACCTTGATTTCAACTTTGACTTTATCACTCACTTGAAAATGTCAAGGTTCTGTTGCAAAGTTTAAATGTTCTGCCAATGAACATACATTTAGAATCATTCTTTTAATAAATAGCATTAGCGTTATCTGTGTGTTAAGTATTCCTTACTTTTTCTTATTTTCAGAGGGTGTTGTCACAGAAAAGCATTTTATATGTCCCACTAATCGGGAAAATTTATGATTTTGATATGTTAATTGACAAACATTACTGATTCAAAAACACTCGCTTTCGTTCCTTTTGCAGTTTGTTCTAACTTGGATTATTCAGTGTGTAAACATTTGATGAACGTGTTTTAGTAAAACATAAGAGCCTTGCCGTACAAGCCATATCATGTAGGGCGAACAGGCTTGGGATATCAATGGACTGTTTACAAATTCATTAAACCGATGGGAAGAGAGTTTCACAGACATAAAATCTGGAGCTCGAGTTTGATAACACTCTTGGCAAATGCACTGTGGGCAATAACAGACAATTATATGCTACACTCAAGCATACGCCATAAGATATATTATATGTTTAGAATTATCGAACCAACCCCATATACTATATATATTTGAGCTACATGTATACAAGCATACAGACAGATAATGTCGCATTCTAGTTTATAGGCACTTCCTAGGATGTGAAAGATTAACACATTCTATATGCCGTTAATCCCTGTGATCGCTTAAACCGGATTCATATAATCTTCTCTGAGTGGCATTTTAGAAGTTTGGGAAGTACAATAATGACCAATATTATGGATAACAACTCCTTCATTTCGAAAGTGCGACGTTTTGTACAGATTCCTGTGTGGTGGTTGACAACGCTACGTGATGTTGTATCGAAACTTTACACGTTCCAAGTATATGAAGTTTTTATCCATACATTTTGTCATTATGCATATATTCTGACAAGAGTATTGTTCTGGTGCCAGTAGTAACTTCGGAGAATTAGATCTTGATGTGTTTCATTTATGAAAAATAGCTACCCCGGTCGGTTTTATACTCAATCACATCTAAATGTATATCATTCACACCATTTAAATTTGGGTTCTGTATGTAATCCTAGGAGGGACATTGTCGAGTTGTCGCTCTTACAAATCCAGGCAAAAGTGTCGAAATTTACCAAAGTGCAACAATCCCAAATGTCTCCTTGTCGCGCTTCTAAGGTTCCATAGTTCGCTTCAATGTACAATTTGCATGCTAAACGAAGGGTAAATTAACTTATTCATTAACTCGGTGTAAAATTATAACCAAAACACATTGCATCGATCTACACATGTAACATTTAATTCATTGTCATGCTTACACCATATATATTACAGTATAAATCCCAAAAGAAACACCATATAATCAGGTTTCTACAAATAGCACCATAGATTGTCATCACAGATCAGCTTCCGTAGTATTGAGTTTGTTGCACATAGCCTCATGCTGTAGAATAAAACGACGCCACGGATGACGTCACAATATGATGACGTCATCGACAACCACATTCATCGGCAATCATGCTGTAGAATAAAACGACGCCACTGATGACGTCACAATATGATGATGTCATCGACAACCACATTCATCGGCAATCATGTCTTCGTGATGACGTACCACGATCTCATCATATTCAAAGTATAACATGCTTAGTGGTTTTAACTTGACAGGAACACAACAAGGGATAGGAGCAGAGTTAGGACGTTTGGTTCTCATCAATGATTGCAACATGGCGTGGTTGGTGGGCTTGTATCGTATGTCAATGGGTGAGGGGCAGCTGCCGTAGCAGACTTTGGAATTGAAACGTTTTGGATGAATGATCCACTGTCCCCATCCGACAGTGTTGAAGTCAACGTCAAAGTCGTACAAATGACAGCCGTCTCTCTTCCCTGCTCTGTTCCATCTCCTGTTTTTTCGATGACGTCTATTCTTTCCACGTGACGCTCTCTTCCCACGTGACACTACGTCACCTGACGTCTTAGACGTGCGTGCTTCCGCAGTGTAACTCTCATACATATTTTTCAGGAATTCGTTATCTTCCAGGTAAAAGACAATCAATGAATCAGTTTTCTTTGACTTGTTTTTAGAAAGCGTTTTGGTATATTTCAAAGGCAGTTTAATGTTTATCGTGACGTTACCATGGTAACCGTTGATCCAAGGGGACAGAGCACGACTGACGTCGAACACGTCATATTCACTGTGAACAAAAGGCGATGTCCTAAAGGAGAATTTGCTTACAAGGCTTCCTCCCTTAAAAATGTCTATCTTGATCTTGTACTTCTTAGTTCTTAATTTTCGGGATTTTTTACGCAAACACCGGAACTCGGCCAATCGAAGTCGTTCATTTCGGGGTAAAAAGGGAATCTTAAACCTCATTTCCACTTTTCTGCTTCCTTCTGGTTGTAGAATTTCTGCAAATAAGACAGTATAATTGATAGATGTGAGCTATTGGACGGCATGTAAGTGGCATTTAGCCTACAACCTCATGCGATTTACGATAAGAAATCGCTTAAATATATAACGCTTTCTAAAATGATTTTAACAATAGTACACATTAACTACCAGGCGGCAGAAAGTATACACCCATGAGTGATAATAATGATAATAATGAGAATATTTATAGCGCCTTTCCAGACTACATATCCTGCTCAAGGCGCACAATCTGGTCATTATTACCCCGGATAAGCCAAGCTGCCTGTTAGGCGCTAGAAGGTGATGGTGAATAAACATCAAACAAACAGGAAATAGTTTGGGTTTTTTTATGTGATGTAAAATCTTTTAATGACACTTGTCAACTTTTATATTATAAGGAACACGACGTTTCGGGGTATTTTCTTATTCCTTAATTGGGTGACTGAAAGCTGTGATGCAGAAATCTCATTTATTTATATGTGAGGAAAACAAAAGTAATAAGATAACAAAGGTGGTGATGTATTTGATATTGTATCAAAGCTATCTACGGTATATCAAACTCAGCACTTGGACCTCTCTCGTTTGCAGTGTATAGGTTACTGCATCATCCTTGGGCCGCTTTTATATTATTTGTTATTTTTTGGCCTTATCCAAATTTAAGATGTATGTTTTCTTCATTTTAGGTCCAGCATCATGCATGGCTGCGAACCCGTTTTATCTCGGCAGTTTATGTTGACATGTAAGCAAATATCTTAATGCGTTTTGATTTGTCGCCATTTGTTATGTCCACCCGAGTTTCACATAAACAGAAAATTGTATTCAAAATTAACGGATGCACCTGCTTTCACTTTCAAATGGAAAAAATGACCATATCAGCTTGAGTCTCTATTAAGGATAGAACTGGCCACATTGTAGTCAAAGGCCCCAGTAAACTGATTTTGTATTCTTTAGCTGTATTCATCCATAGCAAGGACACCAAAGATGTACTTCTTTTAAAATTACAATAAATTATAAATTCATTTATGTTTTTTTATTCTTGTTAAACATGGATTAGCTAAGAATGAACGAATACCAATGTGTACATCCGATTGTTTTAGTTTAAATTGGTTTTACGTCTAATTTACGTTAATAACGTATTAGGTAATATAAAATGCGATCTACTTTAACACCGTAACAAGTACATGTACCTGTACATGAGAACTTGTCAGTGATCAGAAAGTCACTGCAAAATTATGACATATTTTGGACAAAATCACTGTGTCGTTTCCATGTCTAAATGGATTCAATCATATTTGTATCCTTACAGTACTTACAGGCTGGTGAACCACTTATTGTAAATAAAATTGTAGAGTAATATTGGCTGTGACACATGCATGCATCATACTTGCTTCTTCGTCAGATGTCATTGTGAATATTTATAGGTCAGCTGTGTAACACAAACATTGTCATAATCAGCCATCATGTTAACGTATATGAAACTTAGGATCCCGTATACACACAAATGTTTCATTTTGAACGTGAAGTTGCTAATTCGTTAATTCGTTGTTTTTTCTCAGAAATATCTCGAGTAATACCTTAAAAGTGCAATATGTATTGTATATATTCAACATACACACAAACTGTTTTTGCATATGATAATCTCCGAAAGTAACCATTTGTATCGAACATAAACATTTCATCAGATAAAATGACTGTTCTAATGTTTATAAATATCCAAGATATAACTTCAAAAATTCAATTTAGCTGTACACGTTAAAAATTAAAATGGGAACGCTTCATGTTGGTTAGTGACGTAGTCGTAAGTTTTCTGCTTTCTTTTGTTTGTTTGTAATTCTGAACCGAGAACAAGTATTTAATTATATTGTGAACAAAACAACCACAACAGCCAGTGAGTCGATTCTGCTGACCAAAGGATTTATACTAATCCTGTCAAATTTGGAAAAGAATATTTTTCGTAATCCTGATTCACAAACAACATATATCGTTCAGAAAACGTACAACTTAAGAACAACTTCTGCTTGTTACATCTAACAATAATTCATTGTCAAATGTTACGCTGTTATCGAGATGTATAACAGTTTAAGAATCGATCAAAACTTTATCCTTTTCTTTAATTTTTTTAATTTACTCACCAACTTCTAGAATGTCAATCAAACTAAAATATGGTTCATTCTATTTAAATTCCCCAATAATAGATATTACGCATAAAGCCAATCCATAGTTTGATTCGGGTGTTTAGAATCACTACCTCTCACACCGACTCAGTTCTGTTGGTTAATTATCAAGGACATAACTGTATAATGTACGAACATTTCTCATTCTAACACTGTTGAATATAAACATTCATTCTCAGTACAATACACGTCCCAATGTTCTTACCTTTCGTGGAGAAACTCCTAATGGTGTCCGACAATCTCAGATCGGGTTTGTTGAACATTCCCCCGGCCGCTTTAGCAACGGGTGATCCCATCTGTAGGAAATTAAAAAGTTTCACCATAAATATCGTAGAAGCTTTTCTGTAATCCGCCGCAATCCTCCATTTCTTGAAATATCGAATTGTGTCGTCTGCGGCAGAGTCTGATTTTTCAGCAGTTATATCCTTGCTGACGTCAACTCCAGATTTGATCCAGTGAGGAGGAAAATCTACTCCATGAATAAACATAGGTCCAACACACGCCAGCACAATGATAAGTCCTAAGTATGACATTGCGTTACTCTTGGGAACAGCGGACGTTTTGCTGTTTAAGTGTTGGATGTAGCAATTTAAGTGATGAAGTGATACCTCCCGTGTCGTGTTATATACCTTGTCCTGCTGCTTGTGTTTCAGGGGTCTTACAATGGCCGGGTGTTATCGGGGTGGCCAAATCCCGCAGGGCTAACGCCTTAATCCCCCGAGTCAAACCTTGCTGGCTGCTTTGAGGAGGTATCATTGTGACCTTCCGGAAGATGTTTGTCCATCAGTGGTGTCCCTTGTTTCAAATGTTTGTTGATTTTGCACACACGTTGATACTTAAGGTAAATAATTTATTTAGGTCTGGTTAATTCAGACAGCCAATTCCAGACAACTCGATTGAATCCATGTTTCAACCACTTCTTTTCCTTGACATAAATGACTTTGAGTACAAGAGGGTATGCATCATTTCGTTTACCAGAACACGAAAACCATTTGACACGAAATACAAAATAACATAAACTATATTGATCAAAGTCCACTACGTTAGTCGTGAAACAGCTGGCAAGGAATAACTGGTATGTGCAAAGGGGACGTAAAATATCATGATATACAAATGTTTAAACACAATCCTATATAACATCATTCGTACTATATTTAGTTTATGATAATTACCAGTAGCTATGGGTAGTACTGAGACCGGCATAGGTATTTAACTTGAAGAGGAAAACGTGAGCCCCGAATAGGCCGGACTAGCACTGAAGCCAAAAGTTCCAAATATTCATGTTATCTCTGACTGTACGTTATACATGTACATAGTTTATCCCCCACCCCCAAGTTGTGACCGAAGTGTGGAGCCCGGGGGCCCAGTCAGTCTAATTGCACCAGTTCAGATGGATCAAGTGGGCAAGATTATCATGTATGTTCACGCCATTGAACAATATCAATAGCCACTCAATCAAAAGTTACATGGCAAAGCACAATATACCGAACAAGTGCGATCAAGTGCTTTACAACCAATTATAACAGTCTTTTCGGTTTCCAAAACTTTTCTAAGAAGTCCATACCCGAATACTATCTTACAATGGCGTTTAGTAGGCCCTCAAGAGCTGGTATATACAAATAATTGACGGGATTAGTATGTGTCGCTTCAATCTGTCTGGAGAAAAAAATCCCTCTTTTTTATGCAGGTACTTGCTAGCCCGGGGCTGCAGTCAGGCTAATTGGCTTCATCGCCCGTTCAAATGGCTGGCGTTTTGTGTAATTTGACAATAATTCAACACAAAACGTTTTATTGAATAGACATGTAGGCTTACAGTGAGGTGGTGTGCGTGATTACACATTGTTCCTAGGGTTGTAGCAAGTGTACTTATAAACACCCTGAAGAAAGAGAAGCCACGAAATGACGCAGTTTCATTGGCTATGTGAAGCCAGGGTGGCATTTGATTGGATTAGAAACAGCTCGAGGTGAGGAGAAAACAATGACTGTAGTGGATGTGATAAATCAGTTTGACCATGTTAATAATCACTGGATTAGTGACTGTTGTACGTCTCTGGAATGATTGACAAGTTTATGGGGAAGTAAGGGGGTGGCAGCGCTTCCACTGATCCCCCACGCCTCCAAGACAAGAGATGGTGAATTGATACAGACAGAGACACCCTCTGTGGGCCAAGATAAACAACACAAAATGCATTTGGAAAAGCGATAGACGGTGGCCGTTCTGGTTCATGAAACGCCAAGGTTGGACAAGTACACTAAACCTGATACTTGTACACTGTATCACCTCTTCCCGATATAAATAACCAGTAACACCGAAGTTATATTGTAAAGAACAGAGTAAAAAAATGAAAACATGTTATCGACATATATTTTTTAAATTAAAAATACACAGTAGAAGATATTTGCGCTGAATTATTGAAAATGACTGACTGACTGACTGAGTTTGGTTTTACGCCGCTTTTAGCAATATTCCAGCAACATCACGGCGGGGGACACCAGAAATGGGCTTCACATATTGTACCCATGTGGGGATTCGAACCCCGGTCTTCGGCGTGACGAGCCAACGCTTTAACCACTAGGCTACCCCACCGCCCTATTGAAAGTGAAGCAAACCAATTTCGCACAACCACAGCGAACAACAAGGAAGGCACTTTAGAATATGTTCAACATTTTAAACAAAATTGTTATTACTTCAAAGTATAAACTGAAATATTTCCTTTTTGATATTACAAGTATATATTTGTTTACTCATGGACTCATATATATTTGTTTTTATCAGTCGCACTGATAACTTTACATATGTCAAAAATGTGTGACTGTTTTATTTGTGTAGTAGACAAAAAGGAAAGAATGCTATTTTAATTGAACAGTCTGTCCCGAGGGAACTGTGATCTATTCAAGATTTACACTTTGAAAGCAAATCCATACTAATAATCACTTCAATTAAAATACTGCAGTCCATAATTGCAATCATTAGTAGATACAAAACGACACCTTACGCCGTGCTGCCGGCGATGCCAGTCAGCTCATCACACGCCACTTGTTTGTTTATTTGTTTACGTAAATACAGAAAGCGTGTATCTCCTACACCTATTATCCAGGTAATACTACACCCCCAGTAGTCGCCGTGATTGCAATTAAGTCGCCGGGGCAGGTAACCCTCTCGCTCGCGTTGGGTGCCGGGATTGGGTAGTTACATCGTCGTGAAGACGTTATACCAGGGGGAATAGAATGCTGTAGATTATCCCTGGTTATACGGAGGAAATGCGTCAGCGCATACAAAAATGACTGTCATATTTGCCGGTTGCGTGTCCCACACACAGGGGCGTGTGTCGATAAACTCCAATATTCATCATTAATGGTTATTGCAGAGGTACAGATAAACTGCGTATCTGCGTAAATTACGCAAATATTTATATGAAAACTCAATTCTTCTTAAGTCTATTGCGTGCATGTACGCTTGAATGTTTGTAAATACTCAATAAATTTGATCTTACATGCGTACAAACAAAACTGTCAAATCTTAGCTTGCGTTCTGTAACATTCACCAAACCTACTAGAATTTGATAAAATAACAGGTATATTGTGAGGTTCTATTTCAGCACATGAACTTGCCAACGTGCAGTGTTTCTTATCTTTTCTCATATTACAGATCAAATATAGATAACACATACTTAAACCATCATTTAAAAGTTTATACTGTTTTTACAATTAATGGATAATGGCAAAATACCCAATTGAGTTTGAGTGAGGTGGGTTTAATTTATTTGGTTACTCAAAGGAAAATTAGGATACCCAACTGAGATGAACACAAGCGAGTACATAACTCAGTGAACAAAAAGTTATCTAGCTCTGTGTCTACATATTGCTGGACTGGACCATCAAGCTGGGTTTAAAGGATCGTTCTGCGTATGAACTGTGTATTTTCATAATCAGAGCACGGAGACTTCGATTATGTAGCATTGACGTGTTTAACTTTATGTAAAAATACGTTAACATTCAGCCATTTCCAAATGCTATTTCCCCAAAGATTACTGTAGAATATGTAACTGTTAATCAGCGTTAACAGATTGTCGTATATTTCTAATCTTTCGCTAATATTACATCTTTTAATAAATCGTAGGGGAACAACTTCAACAACACCTCCTTGAATGCTGTCGACCCGGGTTGTACGATATGCCGGAAGTTTTAAAATATTCAAATGTCAGGCAGAATATCAAAAGTTGTCGAATTTTTATTTGAAAGAATAATTTTTAAGATGACTGATTTAAGATCTGACCCTATTTCTTTGTTTACTACAGCACTGTATGAATATCAGCAAACGACTGAAGTCTCGCAGAGTTTCTGTTAGTGACAAACGTGCTTCTAACAAAACTAGTCAGACGCGTTTGTGTCCTTCTAGCTAAGACACATAGCGTTCACTGACATGAACATGAACGCTATGTATCTTAGCTAGTGTCCTTCTCACTGACTCAAACCCACACCCGCGAGAGTCCAGTTCTCGCGAGACCTGACACTGATCCAGCCCATGGAATGACGAGAGATCAATTGCAATGCACTAGTCATCTATCAGCAACAGCCAGCTACAAATTTCGTTTCTGAAACTAATCCAGGATTTGTGCTTGTCCATTTATTTCTTAAAAGGGTCTTTTGATCTATGACGGGTACTTTCCGAAGCTGATGGAAGATAGTTCGCAGTGATCCCTGGGTATCACTTATCACTAGCGGGTCTTTCACACCAGAACGCTGTCTCAGACGATACAGTAATCCTGTTCGTACTGCGATACCTACGTATTGTCCTAGGGGAGCTAATCAGCGGTTCTCCTGATACTGGCCAGGGATTTGACCAGTCTGGGTGTTTGTTAAGGCCGCTGCATGCCCATAGCTCCACCCTTTACCCAATGCTACGTCATTATAGAGGTAAGATCAAATAACATACGTTCCCATGTAAACATGCGTCTGTACGTTATAAAAAATGCCCCCTGTGTTTTATGGCTACGGCTAATGCTATGGGAGGAAGTAGAATATCCTGCTATTGAGATATTGTCTTTGTTGTAAATCTTCTCTATTATATGATACATTTACAGTATATGATACGACATAACATCAAACAGATTCTTGTTCGCAAACAGGAAACTAGTTCTTCAAATATCCAGGATCGGCCCAGTGCTATTTTGGGCGCTTATTGGACATTGAATATTTGGATCGGAATAACTTCTAACTAAAAAGTGTATTTTTATAACGATGTTCTCCTCATATATTTAAAAATACGGATGCACATAAAAAATGCCAATTAGCAACTGCTCCAATGCGCTACGGACATGATCAAAGGCTCTATTGAACAGTAAGTTTACCTTTAGCTTTTAGCAATATTCCAGCAATATCACGACCGGGGACGCCAGAAAGGGGCTTCACATTGTACTCATGTGGGGAATCGAACCCGGGTCTTCGGCGTGACGAACTAACGAACGCTTTAACCACTAGGCTACCTCTCTATTGAAGAGCCAGGGTTTGAGGATCTTTTTAAGTTTGTAAG